TAAGGCTCTAACAAGTGAGCCTAGCCTTTATCCTGGCCAGACCCTGGGCCACCACACCCTTCCAAGCTATTTCCAAACCAGGATGTCTCACCACTTACAACTCTGTGTTGCCTTTTTTTTTTTTTAAGAATGTAAGTTCTTTAAAGGTAGGGACTGTCTTGTTTGGTTGCATTTATATTTCCAGCACCATGTCTGGCACATAGTAGATTTTTTTTTTTGGCTAGGCAATGGGGTTAAGTGACTTGCCCAGGGTCACACAGCTACTAAGTGTCAAGCGTCTGAGGACACAGGTCCTCCCAACTCTAGGGCTGGTGCTCTATCCACTGCGCCACCATACATAGTAGATTTATAAAGTAACATACTACAGTAATTTTATAAAATAAATGTTTTCTCATTCATGCATTCATTTAATAAACCTCAAGAGTCAGTTGTCAAGTGTTGGATCTAGAAATGGAAAAGCATATACCAGTTTCCCTGGTTTGGTATGAGGGAGGACTTTAGAAGAAACAATCATCGACGGAGAGGGCAGTCAGGAGTATAAGGGCATTCTGGAGAGAGCCAGATTTGGGGAAGCAGAAAATGGAAAGAGTATAAAAATAAAAGATTGAAGATGGAGGGTAGTTTATTACCAATAGAATGAGGGTTCCAGAGAGCATAATGGAAAAGGTCAAAATTAGAGAAAAGTCTGGCCCAGAGTGTAGAAGCCGCGGCTTTCTAGGTTCTCGAGTTTGGCCCTTTGAATCCAAACTTCACAGAACAAACCCCTTTAATAAAAAGATGTGTTCTGTAAAACATGGATTCGGTCAAAAGGCCACACCCAAGGACCTAGAAGGCCAGATGTGGCCTTGAGGCCACAGGTTCCCCACCCTGATGGACAGTGGTAGCACTGAGCTGGATAGTGAAGGAAAACACAAGGAGAAGTGGCAAGGGAAGAGTCACCCGGGAACATGACTTTGAAATGTTAAGATTAAAGGAGCAGGAGGTGCAAATATTCTAACCAAAGCTACAGGTTGAGGCTTCTACATTCCAGGTGCTATAGTCATAAAGGACTACCTTGATTGAAACAGGGGTTCTTCAGCTTTTTATTGTTATGGTCCCCTTTAGCTGTCCTATGTAGCCTATGGATCCCTTCTCAAAATGTTTTTAAATGCACAAAATTTCAAGGGTTATAAAGGAAACCAATCATATCGAAATAAAGATGCATTTTTCTCCATCCAGGTTCACAGACCTCCCCCACCCTGAAATTCATCTTTGGGCTCCAGTTTCTGCCTGGCAGCTAAAGGAGACCTATAATGAAAAGCTAGTTCCGTCCTTCCTCTGTCATTTACTAAGTACCGTGAAATCTCTCTGGACTTCATTCATCTCTCTCTTCTAGAAATGAAGGAGCCAAAGTCACAGATTTCGAGCTTATCTAGTCTATATCTCTCATTTTACAAGTGAGGATGCCCAGGACTCTCTTTAGACCGGCCCGGAGGGACAGTACCACTCATTAATGTGGCTCCTTGGTTCTCAGATGGAAGGGGAGAGTTGGGGGAAGGGAGGGAGAAGTCCTACATTCCAATTTCAGTTCTAGTGCTTGCTCTTTGTCACTGTTCCCCCTTCTGGACTTCTTTCCCTCACTATAAAAAAAAAAAGGAGGGGGAGGGGCATTGGGCTAGAATATTCTAGAGTCTAGACGCTAGATAATTCTTAAAGGCTCGCAGCTCTAACCGTCTGTGCATTCAAGGAATCGGAAGAGAGGAACTTGAGTCGAAGCGCCGACCTCATTTAGCAACAGGATGGCAGGCTGCCCATCCCTCCTGGACACTGTCTGAGCCATCCCGGCCAGGCTTGGCAACGTGATCCCTCCCGCGTATCCGCGTACCGTGAACTCGTCTCCTTCCTCACTTGGCGCGTGTTGGGCCCCGCACGGCCCCAGGAGCACTCCCAAGAACATCCCAGCAGCTGCCGGGAAGTAACAAGCAACGACCATGACCGTGACTGCAGGCTGAGACTTTCAGAGACTCCCCTGAACAGGCTGATAAAACACTGGATGAGCAAGTTCTGCTGCTTATATTTTGCTCCAAGGGGTGGAAACCTACCAGGAAGGGCACACGCACAGCAGTGGGCGGGGAGAGAGGGGAGGAATCTGTGTTTGTTCTCAACATACCAAATACGGAAATCAATGTGACCTGTTTCCTGTGAAAGACTCATTCATTCATTCAACTAAGTTTTGGTTTTTCTTTTTTTTAACTTTTTTAAAACTTTATTTTTCATTTAGGGAATAAAACAAAAATTTCCTAACATAGTCCAATAAAAAAGATGATTATGATTGCACATGAAACTGCAAATCTACTGTGCACAACTTGCTATTCCTTTTAAGTATACAAAATCATCATGTAAATTTCTTTTTTTTTCCCTTCCTCCCTCCCCACCCAGAGATGGCTACCATTAGACCCAAACAGGTGTGTATGTATGTAAAATTATTCTATACATCATTCTAGTTATCAGGTCTTTCTCTGGATGCAGACAACATCTCCATATATTCTTTATAGTTAATTTGGGTATTTATAAGTCAAAATAACTTATTTGCTCAGTGGTTCTTAAAACAATATTGCTGTTACCCATATATGATGTTCTTGGTTCTGCTCATTTCACTCTTTATTATTTGGGCAAATCCTTCCATATTTTTGGTTTGGGGGGGGTTGTTTTGTTTTTGTTCTTTGCTTTTTGGTGAGGAAATCAGGATTAAGTGATTTGACCAGGGTCACACAGCTAATAAGTGTCACTTGTCTGAGGCCAGATATGAATTCAAGTCCTTCTGACTCCAAGGCCGGAGTTTTATCTACTGTGCCCACTTCTTCCATGTTTTTCTAAAATCACAGAGCTCATCATTTCTTACATCACAGTTGTATTCCATCAGAATCACATACAACTTGTTCAGCCATTCCCCAACTAATAAGTATCCCTATAATTTCCAATTCTTTGCCACCACAAAGAGAGCTGCTATAAACATTTTAGAACATACAGGTTGTTTTCCTCTTCACTTAATTACATTCAGAAATCGACCAAATACTGAGCTCTTCTTGTGTCAGCTGCTCTGTGAGGAAATTCCTGGATAGGCAAGTGCCATTAAAAAATCATCTTATCTGAAGAGGAGTTGAAGGCACTGGGGGTGATCCCTGGTTGAAGAAAAGCCAAGGAGTGATAGGACAGCTTAATATGAAGGAGAGGGGGGAAATCCTAACAAAGCCATTGTCCAAAAGGTGAACAAACTGCCTTGCTGAGCAGTCAGTGCAGGTCTTTCAGGAGAAGCTGAAGACTACCTGTCAGGGATATTGTAAAGAGCATTGCTGCTCAGTCCAACCTTCAGGAGATTGTTGTTCTAAGGGCTGACCTGTGGCAGAGGGAATCGAGTCCTTTGCATTTTCCCAAAGATCTGAACAAGGATGGAAGTTATTCAGCTTAACATGAAAAATCATTTCCTTATGCCTGACACCCATTCAACAATGAAACGGATTTGAGGTCCTGAGCTTCCCATCCCTGAAAGCGTTCCAGCACAGTCAGGACATCAGCCTATCAAGAATATTGTAAAAAAGAGTCCTGAGGTTAGACAAGAGACCTCTCCAAACTCCTAACTATAACATATGTTGGTGTACAGCAAAGAGCATGGCTGTCATCATCAAATGGGAGTTCCACAGAAAGTTACACCAAACATCACATTTTATCTGATTTTCTGTTTAATCAAATTTAAAACAAATCTACACAAAGGATGACTGGAACAACATTTTCTAACAAATATTGCACTGGAGAATATGAATTTTTACAACATATATCCAAAAAAGAAAAGAAATTCATACACAAGTTGAAAAGCTAACACTTGAATCTGTGTCCTCTCGACTTAGTTAACAAGACTGCAAAGCAATTATTCATTTTTAAGTGGTCCAAACAAAGTACAAACCAATGTAAATACAGTGGTGCACAGATCACATCAGTCCATTTTAAAGGCCAATTATAGCTGAGCCTGTCCAGCTTAAAAAATCGGTACACAGAGCTGCATTTTAACACCTAAAATGCACAACCTTGAGAATCCCTTTTAAAAACTACAGAAAATACAATCTAAAGGATATTTAGCCCCTAGATTTAAAATAAAATTGGTGAACTATCAAAAAAGGTTTTAAAGAACACAAGACAGTTATACTAAATGTATATTAAGCAGCATTGGTTTCACTGATTAAAAGGAAAAGGAATAACAATCGTTTTAAAAAAGAATATGAAACTACATTGAAAACAATAAGTAAACTTATTCCTTCCACACTTATTTCAGACAACCAGACACAAACCTCCTTCCCAAAATGTTTTTCCCCCCAATTATAGGTTCTTGATGTGTGGCCATAGATAAAATTGACGATACTGAATCAGTACTCATGGCCACTTCTAAAACTTCCAATGACTTCCAAATTCAACGTATGTGAAAGGTGCCAGACAGCCTTAAAGAAGGAAACGTCTAAAGAACAAAAGTCACAATTTTTGATGGCACTCCTTACTCCATTCTGGCATGTAAGGATGTGCCCAAGGAGTATGGAAGGTAATTCAGTCTGCAAAGCCTTTTCAACACCAAACTCAGATACAAAGGAGATAGAAGGAGGAAAATCATCGGAAGTAATGGAAGAGAAGGACCCCAGAAATGGAGAACATTCAACTTATTTCATATTATTATGTTATTCTACAAAAATGCAACATGATTCTTCAAATCACGTCCTCAAGGTAAAAGATTTAGCATGTATTTTTGTCTTCTACACAAATCTCTTGAAACAGAAGCCTATTTTAACAAGTTTTTTAATCTTATTTAGGATCACTGTAGGGTGGACTCCCAGGAAGAAAAGATCAGCCTTAGCATTGTGAGAGCATAGACACACTGTATGAGAAGTAAAATAGCTATTGTTTCAAAGTTGTTAGTGGTGACATATCAGGCCAGCTGGAGCTGACAACTAAAATCAGGAAGGAATTATTTCCTGTTATGCTCTTTCCTAGAGACTGGTAGGATGTCCTGCAAACAGTCTAAAAACCAGGGAAAGGCAAGCAAACTGAATTTGGGAAAACTGACAGGAGTCACAGAAGGGAAAGAACTTTATTATATTGCCTGGGGAGTGAAAGCAACGAATCAGGAAAAGGGCTCAAGTCTTTTTAAAACAGCAACAATGACAACAAAAAAAGTGAATTAGGTTTACCTCACCAATATAGGGGCATGGTTTTATATTATAAAAAGATTTGTAGTCCCTTATCACCAATTAAAGAGGTGGAAAATATTTGCTATCATACACCAAGGGTGGGAGATGGGCTCTGGTTTGTTTTTATAACTATTATTATTTTAATGGAGTAAAAACCATCAAGGAATTGGACAAGACACATCTACTCATTAGGGTCTTTACTACACTATGGTGCAAGAAGGTATTGGTGCCCCTGGGTTCCCACCTTCCCCCATTAGATTTCCCCATGATATCTAGTCTTATGTATCAAGTTAGAGATTTCTCTGCAGGATGAACACTCTTCCCTATGGCAAGGTGCAGAAATCCAAAAGGCCACCCTACAGGAAAGGATCCTGCCTACTGATCTGGCTTGGCAAGAGTAATATGATGACTTCTTCAAGGAAGCTTTTTTCTTTTCCCAAGTCCAACTTCACCTCTCAAACAATGCAAATGCCAGTGAAAACAAAAACAACTTATACTAAGGGAGGAAAGAAATGCAGACAGGAAACAAAAATATAATTCATCTAGGAAAAATTCAAGCCAAAGAAGGGAGTCTCAACAGATATGTTATGTTTTCTCCTATAACATTAAATATACCTAAAGTTTTAAAATCAATGTTTAACAAAAAGGAAACAAAACTACTACAAAATGATGCTTAAAACATGAAGCAGAATGGCAGGTATTCATATAAAAAGACATAATAATCACAAATAAGCTACTTCTCTAGTAATTCAGTAACTTACTGCCCTAACATTAAAAAGGGAGTTTGGGGTAGGAAGTTTGAGAAACACAAGAAAATCAAGGTACTACTAATAAAAATGGCATGTACAACTCTGGCACCATCTTTCAAAAAGATGATTAAAATTAAAGACCAAGAAAAACCAACAGAATTTGGATAAACTGATTTATGAAGAATATTTCACAGAACCAGGATGAATTACATTTCTTCTCCCACTTGTCAAGTACACAGATAAGCCATTAACTTGTGGTAAAGTATGAGGAAAATGAATTGTTTCTATCAAAGCAAAAAAAATAATCCAGTAAGGAGTCAAATTGTATCAATTAAATAAAGAAAAGAAGCCCACCAACTACCCACGATCAACACTGAAATTTATCATTTTAAATAACAGAAAATTTAGGGAAATATACAATGAATGCAGAAAGGCAAATCTGCACAAAAAGCTCCAATGTTATTTCTTGTGATATCTTTTTTCAATAAAAATTATCATTTGAATAACATGCAGAGTTTTAAAGACTCTTAGGAAGGCTATTATGCAGGAAAAACAACACTGTAAATTGATGGCCCATAACAGAGCTGGTACAATGCATTTACCTTCATTATAACTAAAGTTAGCAAAAATATTTATGCTAAAGGCTTTTCATAGTAAGAATCTGAAGGGTATGTAAACATGAATGATCATTACTGTTCTGCATAACTCTTCGAGGCAATTAAAAAAAATCAAAGCTGAAGTTCCCAAGTTTTGTTTTGAGGGGTACTTTTTTGGTCTCAGAAACAACAAGCAGTTTGGCAGTGCTAGAAATGGAAAAACTTGACCCTTGGATCCAGGTTCTCGATCATCTTTTGTTGAAGCCATACACATATGTTCTAGGTTAGTTCTGGGATTCTCCTGAGAATAGATTATTATTCACAGGTAACTCCAGGTTTTTTTGTTTTGTTTTGTTTTAATGGGATCTTATCCCCCCAGCCAGCAAAATTTGCCTTCAGAAAAGGGAGTCCAAAAAGGGAACTAGATTTTTAGTAACCTTCTCTCCCCTCACATTTTTCAGGAGATAATGAAGTAGATTGCCTTAAAATGTTGCTAAAAACAAAATTACAATTATCTTTTTGATGATGCTACAAGTAGAGGCAAGAAATAGGACATTTTAAATTTAATTTCTTAATCCACTTTAGTCTTCCTTTTTAAACAAACAAAAAAAATGAACCAAAAATGTATAAAGTTGAGGCACGAGGTGGTTAAGGGTGAATTTGAACATGTTCAGCCATGGCTGCTCCTTCCTGAAGAGGAGAAACATGCTGTGGTGGCAAAGGCTGAAGGTGGTCACTGCCTGGAGAATGCTTTTCTGAATTCTCCTCTTGCTGCTGCCCAGCTGGAAAACAGAGAAAGATTAACGCATCATTGCAACTAGTAGCAGAATGAGGTCCCAAAAGACTTCTCTCTCAGAAATAAATCTATACTGCTTGCTTTTTGTCACAAAAAAGTTTCAACCTGGCACTAATATAAGAAGTTTTTAAAAACCATTTTCCTCTAAGAAATGATGAACAGGCTGACTTCAGAAAAACCTGGAAAGACTTGTATGGTCTGATGCTGAGTGAAATGAACAGAACCAAGAGAACGTTGTACACAGTAACAGCCACGTTGTGCGATGACTAATATTAATAAACTTAGCCCTTCCCAGCAATACAAGGATCTAAGACATCTCCAGAGGCCTCATCATGGAAAATGCTATCCACATCCAAAGAAAGAACTATGAAAGTTGAATTGCTATTTTTTTTCTCCTCTGTTGAGTTTTGTTTCCTCTTTCTGATGGTTCTTCCTATTGGTTTTAATTTTTATTTACAACTTCAGTAATGTGAAAATACATTTAATAGGAACGTAAATGTATAGCCTATATCAGATTGTGCACCGTCTTGGGGAGGGTGGTGAGGAGGAAGGGGGAGAAAAATTTTAAACTGAAAAGCATATGGAAGTGATTGTTGATAAATCAAAATAAATTAATAAAATTTTTAAAAAACCATTTTCCTCTTTACGTAAAAAAGTGGATTTTTTTAAAAATAAGAGCCATACAATTAGCACAATAATAATTCTGAATCAGCAAATCTGTGGGAAATTAAAATACAGATCTATAGTTCAAAGATTTCCCCACTTCTGCAATACATTTTTAAATAAGGCAAAATGCTTTTGAAGAAACCAGCAAATATTAATTTTTTTTAAAGTCTCTAGTATTACTATACTTTGCTAAAGGATACAAAGCTTTGGACCATTCACAGGACACAGTGTGGAAAACAAAAATATATACTAAAAAACAATGTCAGTATCTTCTAACAGGGTTGGATTAGTCTACCATCATATCTCCTCAAATGTACATTGTTAATTAAATCTGAATGACATCAGACATTTTCTAATTGCCAATAGCAATCACTTGAAAATAATACATTCTATTTGGAACTATGCCCAAAGGACTAAAAAATGTACATATCCTTTGATCCAGCAATACCACTACTAGGTCTGTATCCCAATGAGATCATAAAAAAAGGGGAAAGACCCACATGTACAAAAATATTTATAGCAGCTCTTTTTGTGGTGGCAAAGAATTGGAAATTGAGAGGATGTCCATTAACTGGGAAAAGGCTGATCAAGTTAGAGTATATGAATATAATGGAATACTACTGTGCTATAAGAAATGATGAGCAGATTTCAGAAAAACCTGGAAAGACCTAAATGAACTGATGCTGAGTGAGGTAAGCAGAACCAGGAGAACATTGCACACAGTAACACTGTATGATAATCAACTATGATAGACTTAAATGATCCAAGACAATTCCAAAAGACTTTTGATGGAAAATGCTATCCACATCCAGAGAAAGGACTATGGAGTCTGAATACAGATTGAAGCATACCATTTTCTGCTCTAAACTGGTTCTCTTCCTATCTGTCCAATCCCTTTCAGTCTCCTTTGTAAGAACTTCATCCAGGTCATGCCTGCTGACTTGTGAAGTATTGTCCTGGCACTGTCTCCTTTCTCTTCTTTCCCATCTCACTTGGTCATCTCATCTATTTTCACGGATTCACTTCTAATCTCCATGAAGACGATTTGCAGATTTATTTATCAAGCACTAACTTCTCTCTTGACTCCAGTCTCCAATCTCCAGTTACCTACTGGACATCACAAACCAGCTATCCCATAGACATCTCAAACTCAACACGGCCCAAACTGAACTCATTAGATTTCCCTCCAAACCGTTCCCCCTTCCCAACTTCCCTGTTACTGTCCAGGATACCACCATCCTCCTGGTCACCCAGGCTCTTTACTCTCACTCACCCTACATACATAGCCAATCTTTTGCCAAATCCTGTTGATTCTACCTTTATAACATCTCTTGTCTACTTCTCCCATCTCTCCATTCACACAGCTGCCACCCTGGTAACAGGTCCCATCATCTCTCATGTGGACTGTTGCAATAGTCTTCTGGTTGCTATTTCTGCCCCAAGTCTCTCCCCATTCTGCAGTCCAATCCTCAAAAGGTTCTTCCTGAAGTACAGGTCTAACTACCACCAGCACCTCTACCCCACCCCCATCCCTGTTCAATCAACTGTAGCAGCTCCCTATTACCTTCAGGATCAAAGAAAAATCCTCTGTTTGGCCTTCCTAAATTGTTCCCCAGCACCCCCCATTCCAGTCTTCTTACATGGACTTGCCTCTATGCATTCTAAGATCCATCCTTCTTCTCATCCCTTGGACACACTTCTTCCACACCTTTTCACTGGCTGCCTCCCTCCTCATCTCTGACAGCCAGCTGCCTTCAAGTCTCAGCTCAAATTCTACCCACTGCAGGAAGCCTTTTCCCACCTCCCTCAATGGTAGGACCTCCCATCTCAGACTGTCTCCAATGTGCTCTGTAGTTATCTGGCTTGTGTACAGTTATTTACATGTTTTCTCTCCCATTAGAATACAAGTTCCTTGAGGGTAAGGCCTGCTTTTGCCTTCCTATTTATGCCCAACACTTCTCAGAGCCCGACACATAGTAAGAGCTTAATAATTACTTGCTGACATAATTTAATTTGGAATAGTGGGGAAATTGATTAGGACAGCAAGTGGTTAATTATGGGAATTAAGTGAACCACACTGACTTCATCTTATGACTCAATTCTGGAGCTAGCTCAGTTCCCTTCCTATTCAATTATGGGTCTAGGAGCAGTAGGTGGCCCAGTGGATAGAGCACTGGCCCTGGATTCAGGATGACCTGAGTTCAAATCCGGCCTCACATACATAACACTTACTAGCTGTGTGATCCTGGTCAATGTCTATTAAAATGCTAACCCTGCTGCCTAGCCAAAAAAAAAAAAAAGAATTGATTGTAGGTCTAGTCTAATTTCTGTCCTGGGAGAAAAGTTTGCTTAATTGTGAGAATTGAGAGAAAACCTTATCGCATTGTTTGAACCTAGGCCTGCATGACTGGGAAATTGGACCACCTCCACCTGCTGTTTAGAGACCCTTAACTAGGGACTTAGATTATGCTGACCAAATTGACATGCTCAGGTCAAACCTTTTTTTTTCTCAGTGATTATCTCTTTCATCAATCATAACAGGTTACCAGAAGGTCAGTCAATAAACATTTATTAAGTGGCTACTATTTGCCAGGCACTGTGCTAAGTACTAGGGATATAAAAAAAGGTAAAAGATAGTCCCTGCCCTCATGACAACCAATTCCTACAACTATATTTACTTTTATCCTCCCTACTCTCTGCCTTCTTCCACAGTGTAAGCTCTCTAAACTGCACATCCTTCTCAGTCAGGCTTTGTTCTCTTGGGGCAGTTGTAACCTAACCTAACTGATACTCACAGGAGATGTTACATAGGTGCCAACAGGAAAGTCTAGTTCCCTAACACATTCTCCCTTCCCCTCCTAAATCACCTCACAGCTACAGCTGGCACCTCTTGAACCACCTGGAGAGTAATGCATTAAGAGTTCTGCCTCTCTTTCAGTGTCAATAAATTGGTAAGCCTCCTAACTCACCTGGGCAGAGGGAGTTGTATGGGGTAGACAAATGCAATCTCATTATGTTATTTTCCATCTAGAACATATATCTCTACCCCCCACCCCTTCCTTACTGCTATGGAGGCTATCAGGTTCACAACCTTGGTATCACTTCTGACCCCTCAATCTCCATCACTACCCTTATCTTCTCAGTTGCCAAAGATGATTGTTTTTATTTCTTCAGTGGAGGCGATGGGGGGGGGGAGGAGGGAGACACTACTGAGGAGGTGGAAGCAAACAAAAGTTAATAAACAGAAATTAAAACATCTACAATGTCCTCCTTCACTTCTTTCTCTCTGAATCCTTATATTCCTTCAAAGCTCATCAGAGATTGGACCTATTCCATGAAGACTTTCCTGATTCACCTCGTTACTGATGCTTCCTCCTTCCCTCAATTTTATTTTGGTCAGAGTACATTCCTCCCTTCTTCCTTCCCCTAGCAGAACGTAAGCTCCTAGAAGATAAGGAACTGCCTCACTTTTAGCTTAGTAACCACATCTCCTTGCACACAGTAGGTGTTTGATAAACACATATCTAATTGAATAAGACTAAAGATTTTTAATTAAGCCTATCAATGCTAACTGGGTTGTCATTTAAAGAAAATCTGAGAAATGTGCTTTGGAGAATAAAGTTTCTTTTAGAAATTTTATATTTTTTTCTCTTCAATACAGCAACTGTTTTACATTTTTGTAGATGAACAGAAAAAAGCACACATCTTACTCTTTGAAATTACATTTCAGTTATTAATATTTCATTGAAATAAATTTTGTTTATTGCCAGCTTGCTTTTTTTTCCCCAAGAAAAAAAATTGCAATTACTTACGTGGCTGGAATTTTAATTCTCCACCTGGCCCTGCTGGAGGTACTCCTTGTTGTAATTTCTTTTGTTCCATCTGTTGTACCACCTGGCAAATGAAAACAGGAAGAGCTATATGTGTGAAGGTAATAGTACCTATCTCCCAGGGTTGTTATGAGGGTAAAATAATATTTGTAAAATGATTTGCAAGCCTTAAAGCACTTTATCAATACTAGCTATTATTATTATGTTTGGAAGAGAGATCTTCACTAGTGAAAACGCTCAACGCCTGCCCTGCCTGGATGAGGCAGCTGGACATGAGGCAGGGACTGACACCCGAGGGCTGACCTGCTGGAATTCGTGTTTCTGGGCCTGGAGCTGGTCGTGCTGACGCTGGAGCTCTTCCTTTTGCTTCTGGAGGTCTTCTGCCTTCTGCTTGAGCTTGTGTTCTTGTTCGTAGATGTGATTTTCAAATTCTTTCAGCTCTTCTTCTGTGAAAAGCTGCTGCTGATCCAGTGTCTATTAAAAAAAAAAACAACACACAGGACAAGGAAACGCCTGAGTTTTCTTGTAGAAAGAAGGGTACCAACATGAGGTGGAGAGCCAGAAGAGGGGAGCATTATGCTCCTCGAATGGTGATCACTGTCACAGAAGGAAGCCTCTACGCAGTAAGCAGCAAGATTTCACAAAACTGAGGCTGCAGCGTGCTTCCTACCAAGCAAGAGCAACGTGAGACTGATTTCCAGGCTAGCCAATGTATCTACTTCGTTTGCTTGACTACTGTTTGTTACAAGGAAGAACTTCCATTTGGGCTAGCAGGAGAAAGGAAGGAGGTAAGGGGAAGAGAGTAGGAAGGAGAAGGGGGAGGGGAGGGCAGAAGAGGGAAAAGGGAAGGGAGAAGAGAGAAGGGAGAAGGGAAGGGAAAAGGGAAAAAAGAGAAGAGATGGAAAAGGAAGGGGGAAGAAAGGAGCCTCAGTGAAATATTAAAAAACACCGATGAGAGAAGGAATTTCAGAAGAGGACACAGATAAGCAGGGTAGTTTTCTCACTATTGTATTACACTTAATATACACTTTTAAAAACTGCATATAACCAAAGTTTTTAAATACAAAGGTTTTAAATACAATACTATTTTCTGTTCTTTATATACTGAAATGTTTGTATTTGTTAAATTTATTACTAAGAAAGGAAATTTTTTAAAAGGTGGCAACAATTTAAGGTCCCTTCTAGCTTTTAAAGTTTTATGATTTTATCACTCTAATTGTGTCTTGAGGGATAGTAAGACATAGTGGACTGAGTAGCAGCCTTGGAGTAAAGGAAGCCTCAGGTTCAAACCCTGCTGCTGACACCTGCATACCAGCTCTATGAGCCCAGCCAAATCACTGAACTGCTCAGTGGTCTGGAGGGCTCTAAGATCAAAAGTTCCAGGGGATTGATAAAGTACATTAGAAAATCAGTAAAAGGAGTTTCCAAACTAGGAATTCCTCATACCGATGAAATCCCAGGTCCTGACTGGGGAACAACAGCAGCCCTTCTTTATACCATCCTGATCACTAGAGAGCACTAGAAGTAGAGGATATTCCTGCTACCTTCCTTCACACCTTCTTCTTCAAGTTTCAAATAATAGACAAAAGCCTCTAAGGTCAAAGAATCAGACTCTCAAATATTATAAAAAATGTCTGAGTTGATAAATGTATATACCTTTATTCAAAATTAGAGGCGGCTAGGACAATAGATAGAGCATCAGGTCTGGAGCCAGGAAGACTCAAGTTCAAATCTGACCTGACACTTACAAGCTTATGTTACTCAGGGCAAGTCACTTAACCATGGCCTACCTCAGTGTCCTCATTTGTAAAGTGGAATCTATCTATCTACCTATCTCCCAGGGTTGTTATGAGGATAAAATAACATTTGTAAAATGATTTGCAAACCTTAAAGCACTTTATCAATACTAGTTATCATTGTTATTATGTTTGGATAATGTCAGATTCTGTTTACGTTGGCATAGTCCAGCATGTCTTTAAATTTATGTATGCTAATCTTCCCTTGGAGTACATAAAGCACTAGGAATTCTACCAGTTCACAAAAAAATTGGTCTTCTATAAAAAGTCATTAAGTATCTAAATGTAATACAAAAGACAAAAAGAGACATTAGTGAACATCTTGATGAAGTGAAGAAAACATGATATAAGTCCACTTAAAATAGATATTACCTCCCAGCTATCTGGCTCCAAGAATTCTTTTTTCTCAGTAGCTTTTAGAAACTCATCCAAAGTCACTAACCGGTCCTTGTTAATGTCCACCTGATTAAAGGAAAACAGAAATATAATATTAACTTTGCCCTCCACCATTTAGACATTAGACATTCTCTTCTGCTAAGAAATACTGGAATACTATGTGACCTTTGGTGAGACAGGTACAAACTGGGGGGGGGGAAAAACCTAATCCTTTCTGTAGGGCATCTTTCACTTTTTTACTGTGGAGCTCAGAATGATGTTGATTCTATTTGAGCTCAAAGGTTTCTTTAAAAGCCCAACCAAAACAAATTTAAAGGTGAGTACTTTTCATGGTCTTAAATTTAGACTTTTCACTTAAGGTTTTAATCGAAAATTAATTCCAGACTCCTTCAACTTCTGATTATCTGTATTAATAATGGGAATATATGACCCTATAGTCACTACTATTTGGTACCTAGAGTTTAGTCCATTTTTATGCCTGAGTATGGTGATGACCGCTAATGTTCCGTACATAATTATGTATACACATGTCGTCTTTACCCCCAAAGAACATAGGTTTGCAAGAACTGCTTCGTTCTTTATGTCTCCAAGACCTAGGACAGTGCCTGGCACATAGCAGGTGCTTAATCAACGTTTGTTGTTTGAATTCACTACAAACTGAATAATGAAGAAATACTATGAAAACCTGCTACATGAGTTGCTTGAAGGCTTTTCTGTTGCTCAACTCAAATCTGTGAACATAAAAGACTCTCAGATTGAGGCAAAGCTTCAGGCTAAGAACAAGACACCCTAGGTCCCATGAAGGTAGGAGTATTGCCCCTCCCTGGGCTCTTACAGTGACATGCATATAGCAGGCATTTAGTAATTATGTTGCATTAAATTTTTGTATTTCGAAGAAAGGGAAGCTTCTTCTTACACTACAAAGTAGAAAATCCAGAATATCCACCAAGGGAGTAACTAAGAAAAAGAAGTACTATCTGTAGACCAAGATGTCAACTAAGGAAATCACTATAGGTAACATCTTCTTCCCAAACCTGCCCTCCCCCTAATTTCTTTATTCCTGATTGATGGCACTCTCCTGTCAGTTATCCACACCCAAAACCTTAAGTTTCCCAACAGTTCTCGTTAGAGAAGCCATCACTTGGGGCAGCTAGGTGGCATAGTGGATGAAGCACCGGCACTAGAGTCAGGAGGACCTGAGTTCAAATCGGGCCTCAGACAAATAATACTTCCTAGCTGTGTGACTCTGGGCAAGTCACTTAATCCCAACTGCCCCACAAAAAAAAAAATTCACAACTAGAGAAGCCATCACTGGATCTGTCTCTAAGTCCTATGGATTCCACCTTGTCAACAGCTTTTGTATCACTAGCTCCAGTCCCTTATAACTTCTTATTGGGAGTTTTATAACAGCTTCCTAATTTGTCTTCCTGCCTCAAGGTGACCCTCTCTCCCATTTATCCTTCACACCTCTGCCCAAGTATCTTCCTAACATAGCCCTCTAATCAATGCCATATAATGCTGAATTTTCAATCAGAAGGATTTGAGTTTGAATTTTGCCTCAGACTCTTACTGAATGTGTGATCATAGGAAACTCACTTAACTTTTTTTTTTTTGAGGCTAGATTTGAATACAGGCCTCTTGACTCCAGGCTGTGTACTCCCATCCAGTGTGCCACCTAGCTGCCTGTCTTGATAGGAAGAAAATCTTTCTAATTTTGAGGCTAGCTTTTTTTTTTAAACAATGCCTCTTTATTAATTAAAAATATTGTTCTGGAGCACTACAGAATCCCTCTACAATGTAGCAGTCAGTTAACAAGAATATTCAGGTGCTTATGACTGCAAGGCACTGGAATAATAATTTTAATAGGCAGTACTGATAAAGAGCTTTATGATTTGGAAAATCCTTTACATATACAATTTCATTAGATCCTCATAACAGCCCTGTGTAACCACAAGTCTAATCTGTACTTCAAGCACTCAAGGTGAACCAGGAGTCATTCTATCCACCAATAAAGAGTCTTCTGCAAATGCCCAAGCTTAAAATCCAGGCTATATCTACAAGATAGACACCACCATTATCCCCATTTTACAGATTAGGGAACTGAGGCTGGAAACTCACTTAACTTTTCAGAACCTCAGTGTCCTTACCTATAAAATGGAGATGATCTTGGTACTACCAACTTCACAGGATTTCTAATGCTCTGCACATCTTAAAACTCTACATAAACATGTTATTAGTCTCACTTTCCCACTCAAAAACATTTAGTGGCTCCCTTTAACCTAAGAAGAAAATCTAAAGCATTCCCACTACATTTTCAGTCTTGTGGCAATCTTTTCCCATTTAAACATTAGGTTTGAGACAAACTGGATTCCTTCATCCTGATTTTCATCCTCTATCCATGTCTTTTCTCAAGTGGTCCCCCATGTCTGACATGAACAATGCTCTCTCTTTGCCCCAAAACTCTTCATCGCTCATCTCTTTTGCTGAAATTATTTCCTTCCTTAATGTCCCAACTCAATTGTCATCTGCTCCATGAAACCTTCCTTGACTGTCACCCCTCTTCCCAACTGAAAATGATCATTCCCTTCCTATGTACTTCTGATAGCACTTTACCTTGAATCTCTCCTTTGTACTTAACTCAATCTACTATCTATTAAGTTATTGGTGCATAGGTCATTTTACTCTATTAACCATAAACTCCTTGAGGGCAGGCATGTGTCACACCTACATTCATATCCTCAATATCAAGCACTTACTCTGACACTTTAGTGGCATAATAAAAAAATGTTGAATTTAGTTTCAGAAGATCTGCATTCACATCCTAGTGCTGCTATTTATTAGAGGCATGAACTGGGGAAATCATTGCAGCTCTAGAAGCCTCAGTCTCCTCCTCTACAAAGCAAGAGGGTTGGTCTACATAATCTGAGAGTCCTTCCATACTGCAGTATCAGTGATTTCATTGATGTGACCACTCCTTTCACCAACAGAGGTGGCAACACCGCCATACCTTAAGTAGACTACTTAAATGAGTTGTTGCACTATAAAAATTCATCATCTCATGGCCAGTCTCTGATGACAAGAGTCTCTCTATATATTTCGTCAGGCTGGCCTCCCACAAATAGACACACAACTGGCCACTCTGACCTACCCTAAGTCTTTACAAGCTGCTAAAAGCTTCCAGAAGCTGGGTTCTTTCGACATATCGTATTGGAACCCAAGATTACTCTTCATACCATGATAAAGCATTATAGCAGGACTTTAGTGGAAGCCTTGCAGATAGTAAGAATTTAACAATGTGTTGGTTTGTATTAAGCATTAAAAATCAGATTTAAATGAAAGAACTGAGACTTAATAGCAACATTCCTCTTTCCAAGATGACATCAAATCATTAATGCCCGCTCTTTAGACCTAGTCATTCAACCACTCCTGAACCTACCTAAGATGATATACCACCATCTAATCTATATCTCTTTTCTATTTACAGCATTCCCTGATCTACCACCCTAATAACCTTGTCAAAAAGGAAACTCAGTTAGTATGGCCTGACCTTTTTTTAATGCCATTATCATAGCCATTAGTGATCACTGCCATTTTTTCTAAATGTTCACTATGTGTTTAAAGATACATTCTGGAATTTTGTTAGGAAAAGACGCCAAGACTTAGCTTACTTCTCTACTTTCTTCCCCTTTCTGAAAACTGGGAAGTTAATTCATGAATTGTTGAAAAGAAAAGGCTCCAGTATAGCTTTCTTTTTTCATTATATGCCATTATTTTATTTTTAAATCTTACTTAATATTTTATTTTTTCCCAATTACATGTAAAAAGAATTTTAACATTTTTTCAAATTTTGAGTTTCAAATTCTCTCCTTCCCTCCCCATGGAGAAGGCAAGCAATTTGATATAGGTTATAAGTGTGTAGTCATATAGCTTTTTTTTTTCCTTTTAAGAGACAACATCTTTGTTATCCTTAGCTTGCTTCACCAACTTCAGTTCATTCTAAGCATTTCTGACACAATTCCTACTGGATCATGCATTGCTTTTGTGTTAATACAATGTTAGATTTATAGAAAATCAAAAATTTTAGAATGAAATTTGTTTCATATCCATTCATTATTCCATATCATGACAATTTGTTCCAAGTACCAAGAACTTGGAAATTTGCTACCAGGAAAATATTTTCATTCACATTCTCATTCACAGGCATCACTATATAGAGTCCAACTTTTAAACCATACCTCATTCATAACATGTTCCCTCATCCTAAGCCTTTCTTCTTCCATTTCTACCATGTCGTCCTCTTCATTTTTAGGGTCATATACTTTCTCTAACTAAAAAGAGGTTGAAAAGATCTGTATGAATGTAGATGCAAAGTGAAATAAGCAGAACAAAGAGAACAATATAAATAATAAGTACAATGATAAAAATGAAAGGACCTCTAAAAGTAAATTAATTCAATTAATATAAGAGGGGAAAATTAAGGTACTGAGAGAAAACAAAGCATAGCTCTCTCATGGCAAAGAGGTGGAAAATTACCACAAGAGAATGTTTTTTCTTCTTGTTTTTCTGTGTCAGAGAGAAGAGTTAGGAAATGATTATTGTAAAGACAAAAGATATAAATAAAACATTTTTTAATAAAAAAAGGCCCACAAAAAGAGGAGTAGGAGGAAAAAGAGAAAGCAACAAATAATAAAGAAACTCAATAGGTTCCATTTTTACCTCTTTGGTAAACAGGGCTTCTAATTCTTGCTCATCCAAGAAACCATCACTATTGACATCTAAAGTTTAAAAGTAACAAATGCAAAATTGTTTTTAACAAAAAATAAATCATTAAAAATACAGTTGTTTTATAATGGCTTTGAAAAGGCAGGTTCTGACATTCAGCCTAAATAGGATAGCTTCTCATTTTCAACTGAAACAAATTTCTTATTTTTACAAAGAATAAGATCCCCAGACAAGTCTGAGTCAGATAATACAACAACTACTCGTAATTAAGAACAAAATAATTAAAAGGGGGGTGGGACAGGATTAATGGAAATATAGTTAGTTTTTCACAATATGGCTATTATGAAAGTGTTTTGCATGACTACACACGTATAACCTGTAGTGAGTTGCCTGCCTTCTCAATGAGGGTGGGTGGGCAGGGAGGAAGGGAGAGAATGTGGAACCCAAAGTTTTAAAAACAAATGTTAAAAATTGTTTTTACATGCAACTGGGAAAGAAGATATATAAGCAATGGAGTATAGAAATCTATCCTGCCCTACAGGAAAACAGAAAGGGGAGGGTAATAGAAGGGAGGGCAGACCAGGGGAAGGGGTATTCAGAATGCATGCCATCTTGGGGTGGGGGGAGGGGAGAGATGGGGAGAAAATTTAGAACTCAAGATCTTGTGGAATTGAATATTGAAAACTAAAAATAAAGTAATTAAAAATCTTTAAAAAAAGAACAAAATAATTCTGAATAAGTCATCTTTCAAAAAAAATTTTTTTAAACTGAGCACATGGATCAGGGAATGCTGTAGATACAAATTTCTCTTTCTAAGCTCTGATAGTAGAAATAATATTTAGTGTTCAATGTTTTTCAAATAATTATAACCAGGTAAATGCATAGGATTATTCTGAGTTTATAGAGAAGGAAACAGTCTGAGTTAAGTCACATAATGATTTAACACCAGGTATAAAACCAAAAGTTGCTGACTTCAAATATTCTATATCAAGACTCAGCAATAAAGACTATTCATCTTACTACAGGGGAAAAAACTGTAAAATTTTCAAAGTGACAATAAGACTCAACAAAAGGTTCTGAGTGACATATATGTACAGCAGTAGTGGTGTCAAATTCAAATACAAATGGGGCCACTAATCCACACATAAGGCCTCACACTGGCTTAGTTTTAAACTGTAATGTTATCTATCTTTTATTGTATTTTTATTTATTTTGTTAAATATTTCCTAATTATATTTGAATCTGGTTCAGATCGCTCTCAAGAGTGTTGTGGGTTGTGTGTTTGACACCTCTGATACAGAGTAATTTATCAATTTTTGCAAAAAAGGATACACAAATATAATATTGAGATTAAATTTGTTACCATGCAATTTGAAAAATGTCTTCGGGTCAAAGTCACTAGGATCCAGTCCATCTGTCTCCTCCCATACCTCTTTTAATTGGTCTTTGCTTCCCTAGAAAATTGATTTTTAAAAAACTGATGAGAAAACCAGGCATCAATCTTAACTACATTGGTGTCGTAAAAGATGCACAGTATTAAAAATCATTTAAGTATTAATACTATTAATTAATAAGTAATCTTTATTTCCTTGACAGCAAATCTTGGCTATTTTATAAGATAAATCAAGGGTTTTCACCTAGCTAATGTTCATAAAGCAACAGTCCTTACTGGGTGGTTAACTTTTGGGTGATTTCCATGTTTTTTCTTCATTTCCTCAAATTTAGATTCTTCTTCATGCCTTTTTTCCTCATTCAATGTTTTCAAATATTCTCGCCTTTCATGCTCCTTCATCATTTCATATTTTTTAAATTCTTCATGGCGAGTCTTATCGTAGTTTTCTAAATCACTTGTAGCCTAGACAACAGTAAGATATTTTAAAACTGAAAGTCTACTGTTTAGAAAAACAATTGAAATTCTTGAGTAAAATTAACCCTCAAATAATTTTACAGAAAAACTTAATATCAGTAAAACAGTAAGATAAATAGTAAATAATACTAAAATAAATATTAAAATTAAATCAAATTTACCACATTTTATCCTCTAATTCTATAATTTCATTTTTAGATATTACCAGCCCTTACCATGCAGTCAATTGAGGCAACTGAAAAAAAGTTCAATTAAAAGGAATATCCATGTAAATAAATCATATCTAAGAGGCTCAGGATAATCAAGACCAGAAGGCCAGGCTAAAACATGATTACTACCATCATGATAACTAGTGTTTATAAAATACTTTAGGATTTACAAAACGCTTTCTATTTGTTATTTCATTTGATGGAAAATCCCAAGTCCAGTGTCATTATTATTCAGTCTGGAATTTTCTCTTGGTCTGAGTCTGCAACTTTTACTTAATTTAAATCCTATAAGGCTGCAGCTTCACCTCCCTTTGAAAAAGTACTGCATCTTTTTTTTCTAAGTACTAAAAACTATAATTCTGATCAACAACCAAAAAAATAGTTACTATAGGGTTCAGGCAATGCCACTGGAAAATAACATTAGGAAACAAAATAAAGATATAAAAAGCTGGGCAGTCATACAAAGGAACCAAACTAAAGAACCAACAGATTAGAATACCTAGTTTGAAAACAACATAGAAGGAAATTATATGTTTATGCTATTGAAATATTAAGCTCCATTACTGGGCAGAATAGCATAAAGAATACAAAAAATATGGTGGCCTGCCTCTCTGAGCTCCTGCCAAATAAAAAGACCTCAGTACAATGAGACAGATAAGACTTCCTCTGGTACAGCATACTCACAGCTTTGATTAACATATCTAAGTCTGTTGGTTCAAACTTGTCAGGATTTTGATGATTTAGGTGCTCAAACTGTTTCAGAAGAGCTTGGTAATCTATGCCTGTGTCTGAAAGAAAATGAAACAAATGTTTGTGGAGGTTGTTATTTTAAAACAAAAAACACAACTAATCTCAACTCAATTGTACAAATATAAAACAAAACTACTTTACCTGCAATGCCTCTACATGCAAAGACCTTGCTTCAACATGCCATTTGAAATATGATTTCCTCTTGCTCTTCAAGCATAGCTGATCTCCACACAAACCTTTGCTGATACATGTAGAACTTGTAGCTAGGTCACTAGACTTTTGGCACAACAAAAGCGGTTTGACTTTTTTTTTAATCAAGCAAAAAGATGATGCCTCAGTTCTAGTTCTTATAATTTTTTTGGGGGGGGGAGAATCAATTATTCAGAATTATTTTGTTCTCAAATCTGTGGATCTATTCTTTGGAGATGTAAGAAACTTGATTACAGTTGAAGAATACAACTTGTCCCATTTAGGCTACATGTCAGCATATCGGTTCCTTTGTTTTTAGGAAACAAGGGGAACATTTCAAAGCCAAAATGTTACAGATCGAATCAGAAGTACCAATGCTTCTTGATTTAATTTGAGGTCTCTGGAAAATATGGCATTTTGCCTACAATAATCAAGTATAGATTCTTATCAGTTTACCAATGATTGCCAAAATGATATTTGTGAAAGGAAAAAAAAAAGTTTTCTGACTAAGAAAGAACTAAGGATGATAGGGTGTGCTGCTATATGCTACAAAAAGCAGGCACTACAATTCATAGCAAGATGACATTGATTTTAAAAAAGAATTCTAAAAAAGGAGAGGAAGAAGTTTCTTTCCTAGAAGCTGGATAACTTTGCTATATGAGACTGAAGGGACAGTATGGGAACAAATTCATATCTGCCCCACATGGTTCCATTTATAAAACATTTCTAATTTTTTGTACAATGTTAGACAAAGGATAATACTTTTTTGGTCAGTCGATAGATATTAATACTAAGCACCTAAAATGTGCCAGGCATTGTGCTAAGCACTAAGGATACCAAAAAAAGACAATCCTTGCCCTCAAGGAGTCCCCAGTCTAATAGAGAAGACAACAAGGAAACAAATATATACCAAGCAAACTATATACAGAATAAATAGGAAATAATTAACAAAGGGAAGACACTAGAATTAAGAGGATTTGGGAAACGCTTCCTGTAGACGGTGGAATTTTAGTGGGATGCCAAGGGAAATCAGTAGATAGAGTTAAGGAGAGAGAGCATTCCAGGCATGACAGCCAGCCAGAGAAAATGCCCAGAGTCAAGAGATAAAGTGTCTTGTTCATGGAACAGCAAGGAGATTCTGTCACTGAATCAGAGAGGAAGGTATAAAAAGACTGCAAAGGTAGGAAAAGACTAGATTATAAAGGGCTTTGAACCCTAAACAGAAGATCTTATGTATTATCCTGAGGTAATAAGGAGCTACTGAAAATTACTGAGTAACAGTCAGACCCGTGCTTTCAGGAAATCACGTTAGTAGCTAAATGGAAGGTAAACTGGAGGAGAGACTGAGGGCAGGCAGACCTATCAGTGGGCTCTGCAGCAGTCCAGGTGTAAGACAATGAGGGCCTGCACCAAGACAGCAGTGGTATCAGAGGAGAGAAGGTGGTGTATTCAAGAGATGTTGCAAAGGCAAAATCTATGGGCCTTGATAACATATTGGATACGGGGCATAAGAGATAGTAAGGAGTCAACGATGGCACCTAGGTTTTGAGTCTGAGGGACGGGTAGGATGGTACTGCCCTCTACAAGAGGCAAGCTAGAAGAGGGAGGGGGAAATTTGGGGGGAAGGATAATGAGTTCAGAGATATCTAGTTATCAAACAGTTTGTTCAAAACTTAAAAAGCAGAATAATCTTCAACTTCCAGGCCAAGCCTCACTTGTCAAACATCATCACCAAAGCATTTCAAACACTTTTTTTCTATAAGATTATAATGTATATTTACATCAAAATTTTGTTCCTTTATTTAAATTTTACTTAAATAATATTTATTTTAATTTAAATTCTAGCCTATCACTCTAGCTAGTATGAATATATATACAGTGGGGGTTTTTTTAAGGTAAATGTTATTCTTTTACATTACAGTCATTTTCTGATTAATATACTCCCTCCTCCTACTGAACCCTCCCTTATGGCAATGAAAAACAGTTAAATTACCTCCACAAAACTACACTGGACAACATATCACGTCTGCAGCCTTCTGTACCCAAGGCTGACCACCTCTCTCCTTGGTCTCACAATCTGTGCTTCTGGACCAAGATTGTTCACGAATGTTAATTTAAATTCACCTGCCTTTTCAGGGCTGTTTTATTTCACATTATTATAATCACTGTATACTGTTCTACTGGTTGTATTTGCACTTAAGTATTTTAGCTTCAGTTGCTTATAGTATCTTTATTTCCCTTTCAAACATAAGGATTCCTTTCCTATTTAAAAACAGACTAAGTTGACTCTTTTTCCTCAATAACCAATTACAGCATTTACTGTCTAGAATGACAGATGAGAACACCACAGAAGTGCATTAGCACTAAAAATATATGACGCATGAATAACAGGAATGTTTTGTATGCTATGACATTAAATTTTAAAATGTTAGAGTTAATATTTAACAACATAGCATTAAATGGCTATATTGATATATTTTAAACAGATCATATGATACATTATGTTACACAGTAGATACAATCATTAAAGATTACTAGCTAAAACAAATCTCTACTCAAGTTCTAATTGGACACTTCACCATGGTGAGGAAGTAACCTGATGTTCTTCCAGCTATTACAGATCTTATCAAGAGACAAAGTCTTCAAGTATGCACCCAGGAACAGAATGTGTGCTTCTGTGGTTCAGGGTCAAATTGAACCAGTATAAAAAGAGTCATTACCAGAGGAGATAGGCACTAGGAGGTGAACTCTTTGAACCACAGCAACTAACTAAACTAAAGCCAATAGGGGTTTCAGTCTGTATCTGTGCTGGGAATGCCTACACCAAGGCATTAAAGGATATAGAGGTAGATGGTCATTTGGAAACCTAGTCCAAATTTCTCTACTGATCCAATTTGACTTTGCAACCTCAGCTTACTTCCTCACCATGATGAAGTGTCCAGTTAGAACATGAGTAGAGATTTGTTTTAGCTAGTAACCTTTAATTATTATATCTACTATATAACGTGATGCATCATATGACCTGTTGAGAATATTAATGTTTTAATTGAATTGAATTTTTAAAAATGTGTAGGCTACAATAACAAGAACCAAATTCAAAAAGTATCTTGTTAAAATTAAATAAAAATATATACATTTGGAGATTTCTTACTTTTAACAAAGTAATCAAAAATAAAACTCCCTTAAGTAATTCTTGGTGATGAAAAAGGACTGCTATTTAAAGAAGAAAATGGGATTCCAACCAACAACATGGATTCAAGTTAGCTGAAATGCTTATCCATTTCAATTAATTTAACTTTTACAAAAAAAATCTAGTGAAAAATTAAGTTTTGGCAGTTGAAATTATTCTTTATTCTTCACCAATCAGGAGGCATTGTGACACAGTGCAAATATCAATGACTAGATTAGGTAAGAGAGCTTTGGAGGTCCTTCCACTGAGATTTCTCTGATTTTGTGAACCAAACCAGTTCTTAAACTAAATCAAGTCTGGGATAGCACTGAGTATTCTAATAGACACAGCCCTAGAATCAACAAATTATGAATGGACATTTTACCAATCAATTGATAATTTTTCTTGACCTCTTCTTAGGCGCTTACCTTGAATGGAATCCAATTTAGCTTTAATTAGCATTCTTAATCTTGCCACTTCCTGTCTCTTTAGCTCATCAAGTCTTGTCCTGACATGGTGACTTACTAAATCAAGTTCTTTGCTTAGTTTCCCACTCTGTTAAGAAGAAAAAGAAATTAAACTATAGTTGTCACAGCTCAAGTAACAACAAAAGTCAGATCATTATATCAAACCATTCATATAAGTAATATGTGATATCCTTAACAATAACACCTGAAAGTGTTACCTTCAGATTATATTAATTTAGTAAAAAATGAGATTACAAACTAAAGAATTCAGAATAGGCAAAAATTAAGCTAGAAAAGAGAGACAAGGATACACATTAGTCCCTTGAAGTATTATTTGAAGTAAATAACTTCAAATTTCAAATAAAATTTTGTTTTCTTCAAGTGTTTTTATTTCTTAAATACATAACATACATGCTCATAACCTTTCAGACAGAGCTATTCATGTTTTCTCTCTTGTCCATGCTCACATATTTTCAACCCCAGCATAACACCATTATTAAATGCAAAAAATTTTTAACAGCAACGAAGGCACCTGACTCATTTTGCAAACAATGATAAAACTATGCCAACAGCATTTCATTTTGTGGTGATCAGAAACACCTTTAACAAATGTTCATTAAATATAAAGGAAAAGGTTGATTTATACATCCAAGAATAATGCACTGCCAGAAAGATATTTTTCCACATTCACTTTTAATTTTGCCTCTTTGCTGTCCCTTCATTTGATCTCAAAAATTTTGTTATTGAAGAATTTTATCAGATCAAATTAAAAATTTTCTAATGTTTTCCCCTAACATTTAATTCCCTAATATTTAATCCCATTTAACCCTTATCAGGGGAAAAAATTAATGTTAAAAAAATTCTTCAAGGAAAGATTGCTCAGTATCAAGGACCAAATTGTCTGCTCTGCCAGGTAACTATCATGGGGGTAGAAAAGACAATCAGAAGACACGTACTTTGTAGTCAAATAACTTAGGATTCCAACACAAGATAAACAGGGTGAAATGGAATTGATCTAGTAAGGTTTCCCAAAAGAGGTAAATTTTAAATTAAGCCTTGAAAGAAGGGATAGATATGACTGAATTGATGGAGAGAAGATAAATTCCTGATGAAGTATGCTGTGTGTGGGCAAAGATCTATATACCATAATTGAGAGACTGGTTTGGCTCAAAGGCAGCAGCCCATCCTGAACAAAAAATTAGGTCCAAACATGTTAGAGGCCTTGATTCAGTTAATGGTGGGCCAAGTACCAGGTAGAGTTTAGAATTGATACAACAGTCACTTGAATATGGGAAATTCAGTTTTGTCTATAGCTTAACTATAAAAAAAATGTATTGCATTCCCACTCCCAGAAGGAGGGCAGGTAACAAAGTATAACACTATATGTAGCATCTGTAAAGACTTCATTTGGTAATAGGATTTGAAGCACCTAAAGGCAAATACTTATGTCCATTTGGCTACATCTGGGATCCTCAGACAGACTGTGCATTCCTAGAACTCTATCCTGTACTTCTTTCCATTTCCCCTACAACATTTAGGACAAGGCCATGCTCACAGTAGGCATTCAATAAATACTTATTGAGATCTAACCATTTTGGAGAGAAATTTGGAACTATGCCCAAAGGGCTATAAAAATGTACATACCCTTTGAACCAGCAATACCGCTACTAGGTCTGTATCCCAAAGAGATCATAAAAATGGGGAAAGGACCCATATGTACAAAAATATTTACAGCAGCTCTTTTTGTGGTGGCCAAGAATTGGAAATTGAGAGGATGCCCATCAATTGGAGAACAGCTGAACAAGTTGTGGTATATGAATGTAATGGAATACTATTGTGCTACAAGAAAAGATGAGGGGCAGCTAGGTGGCACAGTGGATAGAGCACCGACCCTGAGCAAGTTACTTAACCCCAATTGTGTTTCTTTATGTTTAATGAATGTTTGTTAAATGTGTTTCTGATCACCACAAAATGAAATGTTGTTGGCATAGTTTCATCATCACTCTGACTCTGGCCCTCTTACACTGGAAGTAGGCTCTGCCCCTGCAGCCCTTTCCTCTGATTGGCTGGTTCCTCCAACACCTCCATTTTAGCAAAGGCCCAGACTGGCTGCACTTATGCCTCCCCCCTCCCAACTCCTCAGCTCCCTTTTATATATTGTCTTCCTCCAATAGACTGTAAGATCCTTAAGGTCAGAGATTATTTTTCTGTTTGTATATCCCTGGCACTTAGCACAGTGCTTGGCTCAGAGTAAGTGCTTAACAAATTCTTAACTTTACTATCATAGATTTTCAAAAATTGAGATCTCATAAAACAGATTCTTCCTCCAAATGAAACAAATTTGGTCAAGAACTTCCTAAAAGTTGGTAAACTTTATCCATTGTAACTTGTTAATAATCTGTGATGATTTATTTTCCTGAGAAACATGTTGACATTAAAAATAAATTGAGTTTTAAAGTTATTTACACTTACCTTGATTTCTTCTATGTCTGCATTCTGGAGCTTTTCTCTGAAATGTTTGTCTGTTTCCAACACATCAATCACTTGCCTGAGATACTCATCATAATATAGTCCAGTATCCTTCAAATTAACAAACAATATTGGTTCTTTCAAAACTTTTCCAAAAAAATAAAATAAAATGAAAAAATTTAAAAAAACTTTTCCCTTGAAGTATCAGTTTTAAAATAGCAATTTAAAATTCTTCTCTCCAAAGAGCTTCATCATACTTTTAAAAGCTATTAAAGTTATATTACTGCCACCAAATTATAAAACAGAATGGAATGTGCTATCTTATTATAACTATTAAATTTCAGGAAACTGAAGACTATTACATAGTATACTGACATAGTCATGAGAGTAAAACAATTATAGCATTATAGAGATAGAGCTGGTACTTCAAAGGTCACCCAGTCCAACTCCCTCATTTTAAAGATGAGAAAACTGAGGTTCAGGAAGTTTAAATGACTTGCCCAAGGTCACACAGGTAATAAGTATGAGAGCCAGAATTAGAACCCAAGTCCTCTTGATACCAAAGCGCTAATATCCTTTCCATTGCACAGAAATAGCTTTCCATACTATTTGTCCATACTATGCTAGAAGAATAAAAGAATTTAGATTTATACAAGCCCACAAGCCAATACAAGCATAACACTTCAAGAATTCTTTTTCCCTCTTCATACTAAGGAGGAGAAACCCTAATGTTATCTGCGATTAGCAAGGTAAGAAATCTGATGGTTTTGACTTCTTCTAGTCTGTTTGCTTATCTGTAAAATGGGGTTAATTCGCAACCTGCAAAGGTTATTGTGAGGACAAAATGGCATAAGATTTGCTAAGTGCTCTGCTAACTTTAAAGTGCTATATAAATACTTGTTATCATTATTATTTCTCTTAACAGGAGTCCATGAAATTGTTTTACTTTTTAAAAATATTTTGATAAATGTATCTCAATATGATCTCAATAAACCAATATAATTGGTTTAAAAAAGAAATCTGATGTTTGTCTCTTTAGAATAGCTCCAGCTACAGACAGTATTTCTAAGTCATGTTTGCTTTCCTTTAACACCGCATACATGCCAACTTTTAAGATTAACTTTTTAAGAAATCTTCCCCTAAATTTAGGACCAGTTTATATCTTGAATAGACGGGCAGCTGATGTTTAGGAACAGCTACAGCTCCTGAATCACAGAACTTCTATCAGCCTGCTGCTTATACAGCTGCAAAAGAAGCTAACACAGCTGCTAATAGTATAATGAGCAACAGTTAAGAGATGATTTCCTCCCATCAGCAAGCTGCTAAAGCAGCAGGCTCAGGAAGGCTCTGCTGCCCTTTGGCAACAGTAACTAAGTACAGCAGAAGATGAGGGCCAACCTACAGCGAAAGAAAGTAAAGGTCAGATTGCTGTTGCCCTATGTACCCAATGGCCTCAATCTCCATGTTACATAGAGAAAATAATGAAGATATAACCAATGCAGCATACTTACTTCCTATCCTCTCCTCATCCACTGTCACCATTTCACTGGATGGCAATCTAGTGGAACAATCACTACACTGACCTGTTCTCAATATACCTGAAATAATAATATTAAACATTTGTCAAGCATTCTGTGCCTTCTTATATTCAGGGGTGTGCTCTCGACAAAGCCAGAGAGAAGAGTTTTTCAGGGTTTGCTCAGTGATGATCACTAAATTCAAAACATGATATTTAATAAATTGAAGATATTAGTAATGAATGCAATGGCTTCCAATTTTTTCAGGATAAACTATGTTTGAATTGTAATAGAATTCATTTCACTTACTGGAGTTTCTATTTTTTCTCCTTCCACATTAGGAATATCTTTTACTTTTGTCTTGTCTATGTCTATAGGCACAGCTTCTAAACCAGTCAGGAGACATGTAACTAAAAGAAAATAACACTGCAGTTGTATGGCTCTCCACCACATCTGAAACAACAACAAAAAAATTACAATAATATTCCAACATGTCTTATAATATTTCAATGCATATGCCATAAGATCAATGCATATATTGTAAGATATTTAAATTGCATTAATAATTGAAGAACTTGAATGAAATTTTTAAATTGGCTGAGGATTTTTTTTAATTTATTAGTAATTTGTTTTTACATTATTTTCACTTTCACATTTCTCCCTCTTTCCACCTCTACCCTGAGCCATCCCCTATAACAAAAGGAAAAAAGTTCAGCAAAACTAACAAACATATCAAAAAAGCCTAACATTATATGCAATATTCAACAACCACAGGACCTTACCCTCTACAGAGTAAGTACAGAGTCCCTCTTCTCTAGGGCCAATCTTAGTCACAATTACAAAATATTCAGCTTTTTAAAAGTTATTCTTTGCATTTATACTGTGGTAGCTAAAGTATGTGTTGTTTTCCTATTTCTGTTTATTTTAGTCTGCATCAGTTCACATGTCTTTATGTGCTTCTTTGAATTCTTCATTTTCATCATTTCTTCTTCCATTACATTCATACCACAATTTCCTTGTCCATTTCCCAATAAATGGGTTTCAGTTCTCTGCTACAGTAAAAAGTGCTGCTATTACTAGCCTGGGGCATATGGGATCTTTCTTTGATCTCCTGGGGCTAAATACAGGCAAAGAAAATTTAAATGTGGTAAATCAATATTTTGTTAAAGTAATGCTTTAAAAGTAGATAACAGACTAAAACCATGGGAGTGGAGTGAGGGTTTCCAAATAGATACCTATAGCAAAAAACTGTTCAAATCACAAGCTTACAGTCTTCCCTTGTCTCACACATGTAATTGGTCCTTGAAAAAAAAAACCCTGGGAAGCCAATTATCTTAAGTTGAAAACATAATCACCATTACTTTCAAAGGGTCAAATTTTTGTGTGTTTCTGAGCCCCTAAATTAACTCTTTTTTTTTTGCAAGAACAAAGCACATCCATTACAATGGAGAGTGATAATAACAGTTACTATTAGTTATAACACAGTTCTAACAAGGTCGGGTAAAATGCATATTGATTGTCTAAAAAATAAGTCAAACTGTGAAATGATCACATTTTCAATTAAAGGTATTCAGCTGTTCTAGAGGGATGCAACATGAAAATCAACCCTCATAAATGTGAAGAAATGCCTTATAAGCCAGAATAGGAGTGTTAAACGAAATTCTTTGTAAAACTGAATTCTCACAACCCAAATTTGTGCTTACTATGAATACAGTCACACAGTCTTGTGGCATGACTATGTCACGAGACTTCATGCTACTCTCTGGAGACATGTAAAAGGGTCCAAGATTCCATACGTACCAGGGCTTTTTGCTAATCAATCCTATGCAGACATTCCTATGATAACCATTCTTATGCAGGTATGATAGTGTAGAGTAATAGATCAAACTCAAATAGAGAAGTATTCCTGCTGCCACATATTGACTTAGAAAACCAAATTAACATTAACTATGGTGTACTGTATTTTTTTTTTTACATTTTAATTTGGTTCCCTCCAGAGTTTTGCAGGGAGTCTGATGCCTCTGATGTATACACCAAATCTCCAAATCCTCTACCTGCTACTGTCTCATAACCTTTAATTCCTCTCATTGGGTTCAACAGCAATCAAGGGATATATTCTACAACTACAAAATAAATTCCCACATATACAGAAACTCTCATTAATTAGCTCCAAGTCTCCAAGCTGGTTCATAAAGATCCTTTCCCAGAAGCTTTTTCTCATCTCATTCTCAAACCCTAGTTTTATTAGCTTAGAAAAGCATCAATGTTACTGGGTAGGTAACTTGTGAACAGTAACAAACGAAGGGGGGTGGGGAGAAGATAAATGCTTCTGCAAAGTGTCAGCCATGAAATGATCATAGCCACCTCTCATTGCTGACTCACTCTTAACACAAGACCCATAGTCCAACAATTCAATTCTTACGGGGACTCTCACAAAGATGACCGTTAGCTATTGTTGTTTCTCACAGATTCGTTTTCTATGATAGTTAACTCTCCAAGTCTCCACAGAAATGAAGTTCTCCCAGTCCTCTCTCACAGTTTCTCCTACAAAATGGAAGTTAACTATCACCAAGATTCTATCAAAAACAAGAAACAAAGAAAAAAATGATGTTATAAGTAAAGATCTGGCCAAGAAGGTAGTGTTTGAAGATAGGATTTGGATTTCTGGATCACAGCTTTACCATAAAGGACTTTAAATTAAAGAGGAAGGGGGAGGTAGGTGCACAGAAAAACTACATATGTATAATGCCCAAGTTGGATACTATAAAGAGTAGCCTTGAAGATGGAAGAAAAACACCTAGGATATCCACAAACTGACAGAAGACAAAATCCAAGAAAGGAGTCAGTATTAAAACCCATAGGTTCAAATATCTATACACAAACTTGTTGTTTAGGCAACAAAAAAGAGTAATTAAAGGTTCGAACTAAGGGGCTAAATTCGATCATGAAAGTTTCACTAAGATTGGTAGAATGAAACACTAGCATAAGCCTATGGATCTGAATAGGCAGACCTTAATCAAAAGAAACTGAATAGGTAAAAGGCAGGCCAGGGTAGCATTATATATTAGAAAGGTATGGTCATGTGAAGAAATCCAGGAACCAGAGAGAGGAAGACACAGATTATTTGGATGAATGTCAAAGAAGAAAACAAAGGGATTTTTAATAGACTTATATAGATTTATATAACATCTATACTGAAAGAGGAAACAATGAAGAGTTTGTAAAACAGATTACAAGTCTGGCACAGAGGCCAGGTTTAGTAGTGATGAGGAACTTCAATTAGATAGCCTCTATACAGACATCTGTAGGTAGCTCTCTCTGCCCAAAAAAACAAAGCAGTTGACAGCTACTTGATCTGCCTTAGTTATGATTCCATCCTTCAAAAAGTGGAGGAACCAACAAGAGGGCATTGTCTTCTGGGTCTGATTCTCACTAACAAGAAGAACTGGCTGCTAAGATGGAAATAGTGAGAACCTGGGGCAAAATAACCACTCTATCTTAGTTTGTGAGAGAAAAGAGGAATCTACGTAATGTATAACAATGCACCCTAGATTTTAGGGAAGCAGATTTCAAAGGGTTCAAGGGTACCTAAGATTGCATGCAGTAAAATGCTTCAGAGGCAGTTAACTCAGAAAGGATGAAAATGCTCAAGAATGAAATCCTGAAGACACAAAGGGAAACAATTCTACCAAGTAGAAAAAATGGAATTTGTTCAAAGAGACAAATGTGGATGCAAAGAAAATTTGACAACTAACTTACATCAGGCTAAAAAAAAAAAACAAAAACGTAGAGAAGATACAAGCAAGGCCAGGCAACAAAAAATGAATATAAGAACCTGGCAGTCTTGTTTAAAAAGAAAAAGCATCAAGAATGCTAAAACTCAGAATGAGCTAAGGCTGAAGAGCTAAAGACAACAAAGATTTGAAGTTTTTCTTTTTTAGCTATATTGGGAGAAAAAAAGAGTCTTAAGAGAGGAATGGGAACTTTGCTTGGGGTAGAAAGAATGATAATGGGTTGATTAAAAAAAAAAACTCTGGCTGACAGGGACCTGATACCCAAGACAAGCTAGGAGAATATGAGGGCATACCAAACCACCCTTGATAAATTTGAGACTCCTAGCCCAGATGAACAACATACATGTCCTGGAAGGACCAGCAGATGTAATTATGAGCTAGTATCAGTATTGTCTGAAAAGTCCCACAAGATTGGAGAAGGGCAAATGTCTTTCAGATTTTCAAAAGAAAAGAGAATAGAGTATAAAATATAAGCCAGTAAACTTTAAACCCTAGGGAAATTTTAGAACAGATCACTGAAGATATGACTTAGAACATCTAGAAATGAAGTGGTGATTAAAAAGATACAGCATCGGGGCAGCTAGGTGGTGTATTGGATAGAGCACCGGCCCTGAAGCTGGGAGGATCTGAGTTCAAATCTGGCCTCAGACCTGACACTTACTAGCTGTATGACCCTGGGCAAGTCACTTAACCCCAAATGCCTAAAAACAAAACAAACAAAAAAAGATACAGCATGGCTTCATCAAAAACAAATCACTGATTAGCCTACTTTTCTTTTTCTTTTGACAAAAATACTAAAGTAGTAAATGAGGAGAATGCTATAGGTATGGCTTTAGCTAGATTTTAGCTAAGTTCTTGATAAATTACCTCATGTTATTCTTGTGGAGAAAGTAGAACACAACAGATCAGTTCAGGGATTCTTAACCTTTTTTATGTCTTGGACTTTCAGCCGTCTGGTGAAGCCTATGGACCTCTTCTCAGAAAAATGTTTTTAAGTGCATAAAATAAAATGCATGAGATTAACATGAGTAAATCAGTGAAATAAAGGTGTAATTTTTCTCCATGCAAGATTACAGATCTCATGAAATCTATCCATGGACCACTAAAGGGTGTCAAGGATTCCTGGATTAGATACTAATTCAATCAGATGGATTCAGAATTAGCTGGATGGCCAGACTCAAAGAGTAGTCAACTAGTTAATGACAAAAGAACTCCAGGAGAATATCTCAAATATCTGTGCTGGGCCCTAAACCCGGGGTGGACAACCTGGGCCTCAAGGCCACACGTGGCCTCCTAGGTCGTTGTGTGGCTTTTTGACTGAGTTCAAGTTTTACAGAACAAGTCTTTTTATTAAGGGGATTTGTTCTGTGAAGCTTGGGTTCAGTCAAAGGGCTGAACTTGAGGACCTAGAGGGCCACAGGTTCCCCACCCCTGCCCTAAACTGTTTAACATTTTTATCAATGACTTGGATGGAACATGGTCTGCTCATCCAATTTGTGGACAGTACCCAAATTAGAGGGATAGCTAAAACATGGGATACAAAATCAGGATCCAAAAGGACTGTGACAAGCTAAAGCGTTGGGCTGAACTGGATAAGATGAAATTCAACAGGAATAAATGTAAAGTATTGCACTTGAAGTCAAAACTCAACTACACAAG